TAACTTTTCACACTTTATTACAAATCACACAAAATGAGTGTTTCAACTTGACATGTTTCCTGTTTGTGGTTTTCATTCTTTGTTAAAAATTAATTTAAATGCCAGTAAAAAGTTTCATTATTGTATGTTTCAAAATTCAACTTTGAAGTCTACACACATTGCCCAATATGATAAAATAATGTAAATAATATATCGTATTTTACAATATATTTTGGGTGGTAATTTGTGTACGTACTTTTTGCTCTCATGAGTTTTTCAGAGTTTTTCACAAATTGTTGCCAACATGCCATGCACGAATCTGTGCTTCAGTCGGCGCCGGTCGAGTGGTTTACGTTAATGCAATGCGTCAGCGACTTCCACATTTTTGCGGTTTGTCCAAAGTCCTCAAACGCGTTTTGTTAAATTTATGAATTAGCAAATCCTTCGAAATCTTATTTTGCATAATAACTGCGAGAACTACTTCTGTAAGTTTTACTATCAGCGTTCATAATATTTGCTCTTAACAGTTCTAAACTGTGTGAATTCTTAAGAATTCACTATAGAAGTTCCAAGAGTGGGTGTTTGGATTAGTCATTTTGTTTAATTTCAAACATTTGTAGTTTCATGTTTACATGGATGTATTACAGGAGTGAGAACAAATTGCCACGATTACCTACTTAAATTTATGAATTTAACTGGAGTAGGAAACATGAATATGTACTTTTGTACAATTTTTGTGAAAACATATTGTCAATGGTGTTATAAAGGAAGGATTTTTGTTTGCTTTTTGTTTTGGTTCTATAATCTTCTTTTCTAAAATCATTAAAAAAATGTGCACAAGTTTGTTATTGGATCGTATGTACTCTTTAATTCTGAATTGGAATTGGTAAATATAGCTAGGATAAATCGGTTGGAACGCGCGAATGATTCGATCTTGCACACATTTCGTCCGCGCGTGGATAAAAATAGAAAATCCATAAACTAAATGGCTAGGTCATGAGAACAGAGAACTCGAGCGCCGTCTCTTTCTCCAAAATCCAACGTATTCAGTGTCTCCAAACTTCCCAAATGTTCCAAGCACTAGGTAATATTAATCCTGACGTTTTTTTTTTGTTTGTTGTGTATGAAAAGTATTTACAATGTGTTTGTATCATCCAGTTTCGGGTGTTTTATGTGTTTCGTTCGTTTACTTTATGCTGGACGGCTTAGTGTGCGTGCGTTTTTTTGCGGCTACCTTGGAATCGTGCGCTATTTTTAGCTCACCCACTTAACGATTGCTCAACCTGTGCAATGTGCGCGCCTTACGACAACACAACAAAACTTAGTTTTATTTTTATTGTATCAAACGAGTCGAGAAAAAAGCGGTTACGGTAGGAGAGCATGCCGATTTCAGATTAAAGTAACAGGTTGTGCTAGTAAGTGCAAGCGTACCGCTTTACTGTCTCGTTAGCATTTTCTGCTCTTAGGCAGAATCAGAAGAAAGGTCTTCCGGGAAATATCACCATCAATTCCGGGAAAATAAATATTGAAAAGTTGAAAAATCAATCGAGCTGCTTGTGCATCTATAAATAAGTTTATTGTGCAGGTTTTCCTTATAGATTTTATTTGTTTTATTGATATTTTTTACAATTTTTCTTAAAATTGTTAGTTGTATTTGTTAATATTTTTAATTGGTTGTGGTTTTTCCCCGTATTAAGATGCACGTGGGAGCAGTCAGTCTCTTACCTCTTACCGCTTCCACGCAGAAAAAGTGCGCTCGTCCTCGCCGCAGCCGCGGAGAGCGCGAGCGATATCCAGAAATAGAAACGTTATTGATTAACTACCCCTTCCGAACCACCTCTCCGGGGGCGGCCGCGCGGTGCTTGATATCACACATTATGCTCGGTGCTACCAAGAACGAACCGCCCCTCATAAACAGCTGTGTGCTATTTACGACACAAGCAATTAAGTTGCACTTTTATAGGATACTTTTTTAAGTCATAAATTAAAATGTAGATGACATTAATTATTCGATATCTCGTGTACATTTGGGTATATACAACTTTAAAACATTTTTCACATAGTTTGTACATTTTTTCACATAGTTTGTTATTTGATGTTGTGCATTCTTCGTATTTTTACGTTATTAGCCCCCTAATTGCGATTTTGCGTTGTTGCCAACGTCGCATTGTGCCGCTTCCTATTTGCTTCTTTGAATTGCACGATCGCACCTGCTTTGTGCGTGGTTTTCTCGGAAAACTTTTCCCGCGTATCGGTTCGCCTTGGAAAGGAAAGCGAAAGATCGCGTGCGACGTTTCTACTCGTGAGCGTTCTCCAAGGACACGCACGTTTGCACCCTTAAATCTGTCCAGCGATCTGTGTGCTAGATGTGCATGCACACTCGCATTAATTGCGAATTTACAGCAATTTGCGCTGCAACCAGCACCGATTGTGTTTGCAAATAGTTTATTTTCGAATTTATCGATCGCGCACTCCGCTTGCTTGACGATTTAATGCGTGTGCGATCGCGCATTGCACGCTTTTACACAAAATCGATACGACCGCCGGCGCAGATAAAGTCATCGGCTAAATTTAGTCAAAATGAATAATGATAAATAATAACATATCGACATGATGAAGCTGTTGCTGTTTTACGCATCGTTGAATAACGAATTGCGTACATTTAGACATTCGTTGCAATCGAAATGACGAGTTTGTGCAAATAAAATTACAAGCATTGTAATAATAAAACGTGACGCGCGTCGCGAGACGCGCATAAATATGTACAAGCCACAGTGATCATTGTTCGTCGCGAGTAATTATAGAATTTCTACAATCGACAGACGAATTTTATTGTTTTATAAATACGTTCGCGCGCGCAGGCGCTAACAAGTTGTAAACACGAGCTTTTATTTTGTTTTTAAGCTCCAACACGTTGATTTTTGTCAACATGTTCGACACTCAACTTGATTACTGCACTAATATTAATTATCGTGTAACTGTATTAATGGCAGTTTCGGGTACAGGACAACAGCTAGAACGCCTGTATTATATGTTATAAATAAGTTTAATAACTTAATATTTGTTATTTTTGGCGCGACTGAACTTTCGCACACGACTAGCGAAAATTTATTTTTGTATTTTTCATTCATTCATACAAAATCGCGACGCAAATCTACTTTTATCTCACCGGGTTTAATTTATACGCGTATTTTAAGTACTAGTATATACAGGTTTTGTGAATCATGTGTGTTTTTTCCGCTGAGCTGCTTGACGAAAGCGCAAGTAATTATTCAATTTATATCTAGCCTTACGCAATCGCCGTGATTTTTACCTTCGTTCCGGTCGCGCGGCCAACTAACCTGTCCTAACCTGATGTTTCGACACGTGGCTGCGTTGAGGTCGTGGCGTTTTCCCGGTGTCCCAACGCAGTTCCAGTTGAAAGCGCGGGAGCCGCCCGCCGCCTATGAATGTTTAGTTAGCTCTTAATTTGGGCTAAAAATAGCCCAAGCCGGCCGACAAACCAACGATTATATATAGGTCGTTTCATAATTACTCGTGCGCGCGTTCGCACACACTTCCACTCTTGACGTTTTGACGCGGTGGAAAGTAATTTTCGATTTTCGAATGCACATTCATGCTGTTTTTTTTTTTCTACTGTTGTTGGCTGTCGTCAAATTACCCTCGGAACAACAATGGAAGTTTGTGTTGAATTATTTACTAGTGTTGTATTATTCATGTTCGATTTGTCTTCCTCGCTGCGTGTGCTCGTGCGTGTCGTATTTACTTTCGGTGCCACTAAAAATAGCACATCGACATTTTGTGTTCTACATAATTCACGACGCCGGATTGATTTGACATTGGGAAATATTTCTCGTTTCTCTTCCGTGCTGGTGGCAAAACTTTGCTCAACGGCTCACCTATTATTATCCAAAAATCAATTAATCACAGCCCGATCCAGTGCGATTGCGAATGCCATGTTTACGGCGAACGCTCTCATTATTTATTAATCGACTCTCGCAACCAGCCAGCTTGCCTGACTGCGTTTTAATTTTGTAATTTTGAACTTGGTACAACCCAGCGGCCTTGTGCGCACCGCGTGTACGAGTGAAATTGAAATTGTTTATGAACAGCAATCGGTTGGAGTGATTAACACGTTGAGGACGGCGCGGTTTTTGGGTGTCTGTCGCATCGGGCGGCGTTTGAGCATTTTCAACTCCGTCTAATTAATTCAGCTGTGCGCCACTGGTGGTTATACATTGCTGTATCAAAAAGCGATTGTTTTTGCAGTTGCGTCGCCATTTATTTATTTTCTTTGTAATGAATGCCTTTATCTTTAGAGTCCGACCGAAACTATGTGCGCACTGAGATGGCAAGTGACGACCACGACTTAGCCGCGAGTTAGCCGAACGACGCACGATAATTCACGAACACTGAGTTTTAGTTCTGCCAAAAGTTTCAGCCAATTTTTGGCCGAAACCAAATTTGAAGCCAAAACTGAAACTTTGGTCGGTCACTATTTATTATAATATGTAATCTGAGTGACACATTTGATGACAAAGATGCAAGGCCCTGATTGTATAAGTGAAACGAGGAGAAGATATAACCTAACCAGTGGCGTAGTCAAAAATGAATAAGTCTCGTTTCAAATGAGCCGTGTACCACCGGTGGTACACGCCGTCCTCAACGTGTTAATAATTTTTGCCACCATTGCCAGCTTTTTCAAGATGGCGGATGATTGCAAGAGGGAAGCGGAGACGCACAAATTTGTTATGTGGGACGTTGTGACTATTTTTACGCCCGGTGGGAAACACGATTTTTCATTCAGCTGGCATTGTTCGAGATTAGATTATTTCGGGCGCAGTTTCGTCACATTCTGGACACTGCAATTTTTAAAATTCAAATCTTTGCAAATGGGAAAATCCGAGTATCTATCTATGTATGTAATTGTACAATAACCCATTTTATTAGTCGATGATACACATTTTATTTTACAAAATTATTTTAAATGTTTTTACTTATTTATTTTTTCTGCATTTAAGGTCTGAAGGAATGGATACGAGTTCGAACCAACCTCATAACAACGATTTTCCTCTAAGAAAAACTGGTGAGATCTTAAAGTTTGATGTTAAAACAAGTTGAACAAGTCTTAATTATATTCCATTTTAGCTTCCGAGCCGAATCTATTGAAAGTACGCTTAAAACAGCGCGTGATGGAGCGCCGTTGTAGTCCAATGAGCAAGCGTCACCTTGCGCCTAGTCTTAAGAAGAAGATACTGAGCTCTTGCATGCCTCCGAGCGAGTCGCCGCCCCAAGAGCCTCCTAAGGAACTGAGCCCGCCATGCGAGTCCGATGAGTATCATAAGCATCAGCTATTCAGCAGCCCTTCTATGCCGAACATATCGCTGGCAGCACAACACGGGCTTTCACCCGACCTCTCAGAGGCGGCGTTACGAGCGGCGTGCACGGCGCGCTTGGGTATGCCGCTTACAGGTCAATTGTTGCCTGGAACGTTGCCCTTCTACCCCTCGCTTCCCGCCATCGAGAGTGAACACGAGGAAGCGGCTACTTTGGACACTATAAGCGAGCTCCAGGAGCCCGCTATGCGTGGCGTCATACGTCCCCTTGGTCGCACGCAGTCCAGTCCATTGCCGCTGCGCCATCCGCTGCTTGACGGCAGCAACCATGTTCCCGCACCGCCCCCTCAACTGCCTCCACCACCATTGCCCGAGGAGCAGGAACAGCGCGATCTCGAGTTACGCGGCAACGAAACGAGAAGGTGATACATATCTACCTATCGTCTCCCAACATCCAGTTATGTGTTTAAGTCAGATTTAACGATATTTTGTTAATTGTAGTGTTGTGCGTCCGCTGTCGAGGGCATCGAGCAGTCCGGTAGTGCACCTGGGTGCACCAAACGCCCTCCAAAGACGGAGAGCGTCGTCAACGCCCACCACCGGTCTTGCGTTTGATAGTCAGATGCTCAAACACGCTTGTTCTTGCGGTAACAATTCGCTACATCCAGAGCACGCTGGACGTCTACAAAGCATTTGGGCTCGATTGCTTGAGACGACGCTGGTACAACGTTGCGACCGCCTTCGGCCTCGAAAAGCCACCACCCAGGAATTACAGCTTTGTCACTCGGAAGCACACGCTCTGCTCTACGGGACCAGTTCGCAAAACCGGTACAAAATGGATATGAGTAAATTGAGCGCACTGCCTGTTACCGCCTTCGTCAGACTGCCATGCGGTGGTATCGGCGTCGACTCTGACACTACTTGGAACGAGCTGTACACAGCCCCTGCCGCTCGAATGGCCGTCGGATGCACAGTTGATCTCGCCGTACGTACGTGGACAGGTGATATCCGCAACGGCTTTGCGATTGTACGACCCCCGGGGCACCACGCAGAGGTCCAGCAAGCGATGGGCTTTTGTTTCTTTAACTCGATTGCTATTGCGGCACGCCAGCTGCAGAAGGAACACCGCGTGCACAAAATACTCATTTTTGATTGGGACGTGCACCACGGTAATGGTACGCAGAGCATCTTCTACGATGATCCTCGCGTACTTGTCATATCGATGCACCGACACGACGAGGGTAATTTCTTCCCGGGCACCGGTAACCCCGATGAGTGCGGCACAGGCGCCGGGCTTGGCTTTAACGTAAATGTCGCCTGGTCGGGTGGACTCAACCCCCCACTAGGAGACTCCGAATATTTGGCCGCGTTTCGCGCCATTGTGATGCCGATTGCGCGAGAATTTGATCCGGACATTGTACTCGTGTCGGCTGGTTTCGACGCGGCCGATGGACACGCGCCACCGCTGGGCGGCTATCGTGTGTCCCCGGCCTGTTTTGGTTTTATGACACGCCAGCTAATGCAACTGGCGCATGGGCGCCTGGTATTGGCCCTGGAAGGCGGCTATGATCTCGCCTCCATTTGCGATTCGGCGGAGGAGTGCGTTCGTGTATTGCTTGGGGATGCACCGGCGCACATCGCCGTCAGCGAACTTGCACGCGCGCCTTGCGAGAACGCAATCATTGCCATGCAAAAGGTGATATCCATTCAGTCGTTGCATTGGCCGTGTCTGCAGGAGGCCGCCAAAAGTTTAGCCTGCTCACACAATGATGCCATGAGAAATGAGAAGGACGACAAAGATACCGTCTCAGCAATGGCTTCGCTGTCTATGCAACAGACCTTCGGCGGATATCCAAGCCCGGAGGGGCCCAGATAAGAGCGCCTCAGTCACAAAGCGAAACGAAAGCGAAATCTCTTCTCTCATTGGCAAACTGTACATTCCGACGTTTGCTATAAGTAAATGTCTTTAAATTGTAAGATCAAATTTACGTGTGTTTTATTTTTGTTAAATACATTTCAAGTTTTTACACATATGAGAAAAGACCGTACATGTGGCCGGCGACGTCCGTGCAAAACGATTCAACGCTCAGAGCAAACAAATGAAAGTACATCAATTTGTTTCAAATATTGATAAATGTTTATACCAAAATGATTGATTATTCACTAAAATCGGTTACATATAAATGTTAATTATTTTTGAAATTGTTTATTTTGCTGATAACCCTCTATATTTTCCTTTATATATGCAACAAAAAGATGTAACAAGTTGTAATTTTTAACAAGTTGTTCTGCGATTTATATTTTTATCTAAAGGAGACAAAATATATGAAATGTTAAGTGGCATCATAAAACAAGAACACACATCTTGTATTTATTTCTAAAAGTTCCATATTGAGGAATATATCGAGGATATACGTAGTAGAAATATTCTCGTCGCATTTGTCAGTCGACCGGTTTGTTCTTATCTCTTATTGTCAGGTGATTCGCGAACGATAGTAGTGTATAGTTTTGTACTATATACGCGACCGTGTGATGGCGTTGCATGTATCGTTTGCTTACGCTGCAGGAATAAAAATTAGTTTCACCGTATCCGACGGATGGTTCGCACGCGGTCGTCGCGATTTTCCTTTCTTGAGAGTTAATTCGGTAACGCGTATTACTTTCGGTGTTCTTTGTGATTATTTTTTCTTATTGTGTCTCGCTAATGATTTATCGCTTATAAGATGTTCGCGAAATGCAAATATTATGTATTTGCTTGTGCCGACGGATGCCGTTTACGATGGAAGTTTTACAATACTGACCAGTAAAGTAAATTAAATAATATTCTTAACCGCATTGATTGATTCTATTTTGGCCGTTTGTTTTTCTTTATTATCATATTTTCGTAGTGTTTCATAGATTGTTATATTCATAAATGTGCTTAAAATTGCATGGCATGTGCAAGCGAAGCGATTGTATTCTTATTTCTTATCTTTTGACTAAACTCAAAAAAATGGAACTTTTTAGGACCCATTATTTTTAATTTTTATTATATTGAGAATTTTCCAATTTTTCATATTCTTCAATGTGTTGGTCGCTATCGCTTTTAGTTTGAAAGGTATGCACTATTCAACTTTATTGACTTAAATATGTCAAGAACGTTGATTTTTCTTTGATTATTTAGCATTCGACACGAGAATTGTGTTTGTTTTGAACACAACTTTCACTTTCTTATCGCATTCGCCGCGAGAATGCAACGCATGAGATCCCCTCACGCCGAATGTTGGCGCATCTTAGTTTAGTTATGATCGCAGGTAACGTGCCCAAGCGATTCGCGCACAAGGTCGCGTGCAATCGACGCACTGGCTTTGCGCATCTATTGCTTTCATATCATAAATTGTCGCGTCGTTGCTTGCACTGTTTGCAGCCAGTCTCGTGCCGGTATCTGGTTGATCCAATATTTTACGTGACTCGTATTGTTTGTCCGGACATCTACTATCCAAATTCGCATTATATTCAATCATCAATCGACTATAGTAATGTTATTAACTGTTTGCGTGTTTATTGTCCATAAATGCCGGTTAAGTGTGTGGGGATCCACCACCGCACATGCTGCCGCATTTTAAACTCCCGCCACATACTTCTCCACCGCATTCTATACCACTTCATTCCCACAAGTGTGGCTCTAACCTTAATAGCCCACCGCCTTCTCAACCATACACTGGAGTACCATCATCACATCCAGGTATTGCATCGCATCACATCACCAGGTCCTTCGACCGTACAACATCCTTCCTGCCGTTAAAGTGTCAAAACATGCCGCAAGTGGTATGTCTACACAGGCACAACGGAAGAAAAGCAGCCAGGGTTAAGAAGAAAACAAACACCATAGCCCGTGGCTTTAGTTTATGTAGTGTTATTTAGTGTCTCGTATTCAGGGCACCGTACCAGGGCAGCGGTAGAAGTGACTCGTGTTCAGGGCACCGTACGAGGGTAGCGATAGAAGTGACTCGTATTCAGGGCATCGTACAAGGGGAGCGGTAGTAGTGACTCGTGTTCAGGGCACCGTGCGAGGGTAGCGGTAGAAGTTAATTGTATTCAGGTACTCATCTAGAGAATTTTCCAATCTTCTATAACCTATAATTTTCTGGTTTCTATCTGGTTGCTGATATTCATTGTCAAAAAACGTGAAAATAAATTATCAAGCACCCCCTCTTGCTCATTTTTTCTTAGGAATTAAAATTTCATTTCATACATTTTCAATTTAACTATGTTATTTTTTTGCTCGCTTTTGATGTTTATATTTCAAATTACATGAATGCTGCGGTTTTATTGTCGGTTTTTATGTGGCGTTGCTGCCATGTTGTTTCCCGTCCATAGGAGGTCCCTTTGGGCTTGAGTATGTTATCTTTTATCTCACCATTTCGATACTCCGCACAGAATGTTTGTTTTTCGCCGATGTGTGAATATAATATTTTTATATTGTATCATAGAGTATAAATTAAAGCAATATTTGATAGGCATTATTAAATTGCTTATGATTGGTATTTTTATGCAATATCAACTTTGTTGCATATTTGATAAAATTTAAACCTGCCGTTACTAGATAGTCGGTTAGATGGCACTACGATGCACGTTTTCGCGTTAAATATTGTTTGTCGGTGGTAGTGAGTGCACACCGTGTCTGTGTGCGATCACGCGATTTCGCACAAGAGATAAGTTTGTTTACCTGCAAATATCGAATCTTTATTTCGTGGAATAAAATCACCTCTTGAAGTTTATAGTGGCATCGTAAATTTAAGCAAGTATTCTTCAATTCTTAAATCATGAATATAACTAACAATTTTACATTAGGTGGAATAGTTTACTATAAAAATCATCATCAGCAAAACATTTGTATCAGCAGCAGATCACTCAAGCAGATATCACTTAAATATTTGATTGAAAATCTGGCACTCTGTCAGCATAAGAAATTATAATTACGCAAATCGAATTTTAATTTTTCATTTAATTTTACCCGACTCGTATTGTTTGTATTATATTCAATCATCACTCGACTATTTAATTGTAATCACTATAGTAATGTTATTTACTATGTGTGCGTTTATTGTCCGGCCGGTTTGTGATCGCGCGGAGACTTTGTATTGCAACTCACAACATTTGCTAGGTCTTCTTCTTCTTCTTATGGTAGGCTTTCTCCTGTGTGTCCCATTGCCCGTTATTCCTCTAGTGACGTGGATATCCACGAGTCTTTCCATCGGGTTGGTGGTCTCCCGGTGGGGCGGCGCGTGTTGGGTTTGCTGTTTTTAGCAATTTTTGCTATTCTGTCGTCGTTCATGCGATTCACATGTTCGTTCCAGGCTCTTCTCCTTTGCCTGCTCCAGCGGACAACATCCTCTATTTCGCACTCGTTCCTAATTGCGGTGTTTCTCCTCCGGTCTCTCAGTGTATTTCCTGTTATTATTCTCAGAATCTTCATCTCAGTTGTTCGTAGTTGGCTATTTGATTTGCTGTTGTCTGCTCGGCTTTCTACGCCGTAGGTCATGATTGGTCTTATACATGTTTAGTATATTTGGCCTTTGCTTTCTATGCTCATGTATTTGTTGTTAAGTATTATTTGCCTGAGTGCTCCGACTATTCGGTTTGCCTTGTTTATTTGGTGTTCTATTTCCTCCGTCCTGCTCTGGTATGATGTTATAGTCGTTCCAAGGTAGCTAATTTCAAGTACCTGCTCGATGGGGAGGTTGTCGACCACTAGTTTACATCTTACGGGCAGTTTGGATATGACCATTGATTTAGTTTTTGCTGTTGATAGTTGCATGTTCAATTCTATCGCTTTTTTGTGGAATGCGAAAAGTAATCGTTGTAGGTTGTTTTCATTCTTTGCAATTATTACTGTGTCATCAGCATAACATACTATTTTAATTTCTCCTGTTGACAGTTTGTAGCCCGGTGCTGCCTTTTTAGTGTGTTCTACTATCTGGTCCAAAATGATGTTGAATAGTTGAGGGCTTAGGGAGTCTCCTTGTCGTATACCGGTTGGTGTTGATACTGGTCTTGTCAGTTGCCTATTGATTGAGATATGCGTTTTGGTGTCGGTATTCAGCTGCTTTATGATTTCCACCAGGTTGGATGGCATTTCCGCTTGGCTTAGGATGGATATCACGTCGCTTAGCCTGACTCTGTCAAACGCTTTGGTTAAGTCAATGAAACACATAAATGCGGGTTTTGCGTATTCGATCGACTTTTTCACTACTTGTCGTATTATAAATATTGCGTCCTGTGTTGATCGATTTCGCCTGAATCCTTGTTGTTCTTCTGAGATGGTAATCATTTGCTGTATTTTTTGTGCTATGAGTTTGGTGAATAGTTTCATAACTGTGCTAAGAAGAGTAATCCCTCGGTAATTTTCAGGATTCTTTTTGTCGCCCTTTTTGAATATGGGTATAGTTATACACGTTTTCCACTCTGTTGGTATTATTCCAGAGGTTGTAATGGCGTTGAATAGTTTGTAAAGTTCTTCAGTTAGCTGCTCGCATCCTGCTTTTAGCAGTTCGTTGTTTATATTGTCGATCCCGGGCGCTTTATGGTTTTTTAGATTTCTCACGTTTTCCAGTATTTCTGCGGCTGAGAATCTTATTTCGTTTTCTTCAGTGTTCCATGACATAATATTCCAGCATGCAATTCTTAATGTGTTGTTACGCCACTTCTTCTTCTTATTTTTGTAGGTTATGTTGCCGTTTTTGTTCTGCGATGTCCGTTTTCTTGCGTGGGTCGTCGTCGTTAGGGCATTTCCATTCCGAGGCGGGTTATGGGTTCTATGAGCGTGATTGCTTTTCCTTCAGGTAGGGTGCTAGCCTCGTCTGGAGACCCTCCTCCTTTTTCACCCGGGCTTGGGACCGTCGTTGGCGGAGAGTTTGCTAGGTGAATCAAATAAATATCGCCTCCATATTGATTTATACATTATGAGGAAGACCCATCGTGCTGGTGTAAGTACCTAACTTTGAACAATTATTTAACTATTTACTTAACTATTATATTAAATTATTTTAAATTATTAACTGATAGAGAATTTCCCAATCTTTCATATGTTTTGATCCGTTGATCGCTTGCAATTTTAGTTTAAAAGAGGACACGTATTCAGGGCACCGTACAAGGGCAGCAATAAAAGTGACTCGTGTTCAGGTCACCGTATGAGGTTAGCGGTAGAAGTGGCTCGTATTCAAGCCACCGTACCAGGGCAGCGGTAGAAGTGACTCGTGTTCAGGGCACCGTACAAGGACAGCGGTAGAAGTGACTCGTGTTCAGGGCACCGTACGAGGGTAGCGGTAGAAGTGACTCGTGTTCAGGGCACCGTACAAGGACAGCGGTAGAAGTGACTCGTATTCAGGGCACCGTACAAAGGCAGCGGTAGAAGTGACTCGTGTTCAGGGCCCAGTACAAGGGTAGCGGTAGAAGTGACTCATATTCAGATACTCATGTCGCGAATTTTCCAATCTTCCATAATCTACAATTTTCTGCGATTACATCCTACTTATCTCTTTTAGTTTACGAGATATTCGCAATTGAAATAAATCGTCAAAAAAACTTGTTTTTTTAGCACTTTCAGTAGCGTTTTTAAACCTTTTATCCCATTAACTTAAATTATTTTAAATTTCCATTTGATAGATAATTTTTCAATATTCCATAATCTATAATTTTTAGTTGCTATCTCTTTTAGTATAGAAGATATTCTCTATTGAAAATCGACAATTAAAATTATCAAGGACCCCCTTCTTCCTTCTTCCCTCTTGCCCCCTTGGCCCGCTAGAGTAAAATAGAATTGTAATAAATAAAAAGTGGGCGTCTGTTTTAAAGTACGAGTATTACGGTGCGAATGACTAGCAGCTTTCACTATTTCACTATTTGTTTGTGTTGTTTCATTAACATGGAAAACCAAAAAAATGAGAAACATGTTTAGCTAAATAACTATTGTAGCGGTTATGTAGCCAGCTCCACATTATACTAACAGTTTCGTATGCTTTTATTATTTGAGAATAAATTAATTAAGTTTAGACATTTGATTCCAAAGACATTTGTCATGTATCGCTACGAAGAATTAACGCGTCTTCTAAAGAGTGACATTTATTGATTTTGTTAATGTTTTTGTATTTTGTAGGACGAACTTGGATACAGCTTCAAAATTTAGGTAACGATTTGTATTTTATTGAATATTTATATGTTAGATGCGTTTGCTAATATTGATTGTATTCTCTACGTGACTGCGTCAATCGCGTTTACCTTTTTTATGTCCTCTGTCGTTGCCCCGAACGTATCGTAATACTGATAGTGACCACGTGTTGTCGCCGTGAGCTGTGCACACGCAGTTCCATTCCGGTTGCCGCGAGTGTCGCGCGTGTTCATCACTTGATTCTCGAACAATCTCGTTAATAAGAAAATTGATCGATTTTCAATACACAATCGGCAGTACATATCGGGGACGTGGTTTTACTATGTAATTGTACGCGTCGAATGTTCATCAATCGCGAATTAATCGTCAGTTTACCTGTGCGCGTGTGATGTTCCATCGGTCGTCGCTGAATATAAGCCGTGTTGGTCTACATGTACACAGCGTGCATGTTCGTCGGCACCCAGTTGTTGGTGCCCAGGGAAGAAGTTTGTGAGTGGCCGAACCATGAAGTTAGCAATATCCATAACGGATGTGTTGGAGAAGCACGTATTTTAAGGCAAGTTTTTATTGCGGCAGAATTTTCTAGCTCTTGATATTTTTATATAAAAAAAATGTATCTATTGTTAAATATTGCCAATAAAACACAAAGTAATAGTACAATCTTATTCATATTTCTTTATGGTATCCTCTTTGTTGTTTTCAGTTTTAAATAATACAACATACGACAAATCTAATGTGTGTGCAGCGGGTATAGCGTAACTAACTGTGGCTTGAATTGTGTTGTTGTTTTTAAAAACATGATAAAAATAAAAACATAAATAGAAGAATCAAATATAAGTGATTAAAACACTCGGTGGTCGAGTAGGTACGTGCACCTGCTGGCATGCTAGCAAACACGGATCGAATCTCAGGTATAGAAGGCATTTTTCTCAAATATAAAAATATCATGTGAAATTTGGGTTGCATACATGAAATGCAACGAAATATAAGAGAAATTTAAATACAAGTGGTGGCAATAAGAGAAGTAAGAAAGTAAATAGAGAACGGGAGAACAGAGAAATAGAAGAATGAGAGTAGTAGAGAACAGGAGAAGATAGAAGGAAGAAAACAGAGGGTAGAGTAGAGTAGAGTAGATAGAAGAAAGAGAACAGGGGAGAAGATCAGATTTTTAAATTTTTTGGCCCGTGTCGTTAGACAGTCTACTGCTTCGATCCGTCCATTGCTCCCGGCCCATCCTACAGCTACGATGTCTCTGCGCTTCATCCCCGGAATTATCAGGCATATCAACAATTTTTATGGTGGGGGATCACCCCCAGAGAGAGGGAACTCCTTATAAGGACAATTCTTTTAAGGTCTTGTAAAAATATTTCTTAGTTTTAAGTCATCTCAAGAGAGGCGACACACTTGTAATATTCTTATAAGTTCTGACCTGTAGCTGAAAGGAAAGAAGGAGTACACAAATCATACAGGTTACCTTAACAATTTTTATAGGGGGGATCATCCCCTGAGAGAGGGAACTCTCTTAGAGACCTGTTCCTGAAATGATAGAAGGCGAACACACAAATCAACGAAGTCAATATATCTTACTATTTCTTTATTAATAATAGAAAACAAGTTTAGGTTTTACAAGTCAACAGAATACATGTCGCCATATTGAAACAAGACTTACGACCTGCTTAGCCGCGCATATGTCAGCAAATACTACTTCATAAATTTATACCGGTATAATGAAATTAGTAAATAGCCAATTTTCTAGGTGATTGAAAATGGAAATAAATATACAGGGTGTTACAAAACAAAAATTATAGTGCAAAAAAAATCTCAAAACTACAAATAACATTCGTTTTCGCCGGAGGTTCCGGGAAACTAATATACAGGGCGTCACAAAAAGAAAATTCAAAAGGCAATGAGGAAAACGCTAAAAATAACAGTTGAAGCAAAATTTTCACGGGCACTAGGGAATATGAATATACAGGGTGTTTTCGAAAGAAAATCTCAAATTCTAAACACTCAAAACTCACAAATACAGGCAATTTTCTACGTAGCATTAGAAAAACTAATAGACAGGGTGTTACAAAAAGAAAATTTTAGAAACTTCAAAGGGAGTCAATATTCACATCATGAAGACGGAAATTTACAAATACACAAAAATAATTTAATATAAAATCCCCGAAAATCATCGTGAAATTGAGCAAAAAGTGCAATGAAAATAAAACACTTGCATTTTAATATACCTATTGTATTTAAATGTATTATTTGATGATAACATCAACTGCACAAGATAACCGACGGGTGAAGCATCATCATAAATTGATAGAATATCCGTCGGAAAACATCCAAATTAGCAGACGACAAGCGACGGCGCGTAACAAAACAGTCGTTAAATACTTTAAAAATTACTATTTTTTTGTAGATATACACAAATAACAAAAACAAATACTATTCACCGTACAAGATTTTATTAGGTCAACTAGAAACATCTTAATTTAATGATGCTAACGAGTGCACTTTGATTAAAATCATTTACGTGTTCAGCGAAAAAATAACCGAGCCGACGGCCGACGGCAAAGTAAACGTGGTCGACCACGTGAATAGTGTCACTTTAATAATCCTCACATAATTTTAAAAACCGTGTTTGTAATAATTAAATCATGTATGTTATTTTCGGAAATGGGACTAGGAAATCTGATAAAAATACAACCGCGTGTTTGTAATTTGTAAGATAATACAAGAAAAATTAATATCTCTCAAATTTAATAAACAATTTACGTTAAACCGCCTTAACTGTTTGTGAAAAAAAATTAATTACACACGTAAGCATTATGAGGAGATTTTCTATCCTGGAATATATTCTATCAACAGAAACCTCACGCGCAGATTAACGGATACTTATTTCGCACTTACGAAGACTCTAACCGCCACATATCATCACACAAAACACCGACACGTGCCCGTGGCAATTACGAGTATTTTGCTGATGACCGAAAGAATACACGACAATTAAACCAATTAAAACCTCAAAACCCGTGGCGATTAGAGAGACACGCTCGCAAACCACGCGGTGAAACGACTGCCGTGTGCGCTGCACGTAACCAGCTACAGGGCAGGTAAGTCGAACAAAAAAAGTTGTTTATACACAAACGTATTAATGAACAAGTAGTTGAAAAGACCAAACTAAAATTTCACAATGTTGGAATAACCGACATCCACGAAATCTACTTTTACTTTCAATATTTCTCGGCATATGAAAAGAATTTATTGTATAAGTATACTGTACAGTTACTACCTTAACTACCTTAGTTAATTGGTATTCACAACACCGCCCCTAATTTAAACATTCACTGTAAGATAAAGTATAACTTCTTTTAATAAGCAAGTTAAATAGGAAATCTAAGAGATGAAAGAATCAATTAATAACAGAAAATTGGCAAAAAGGGAATGGCTACTGTGTCATGTTTTTTTGAGTATTTTTGGTAACGAGTATCTTTTAAATTAATAGCGCTAGCGACAAACGGATTGAAGATTATGAAAGCTTGGAAGCTCTATCAGGTAAAAATATAAAATAATTAAATTTCCTGAACTAAAAGTTCCAAAACAATTTATATTTTATGAATACAACTCACTTTTACCGCTACCCTTGTACGGTGCCCTGAAAACGAGTCACTTTTACCGACACCCTTAGACGGTGCCCAGAACACGAGGCACTATTATCGACACCCTGCTACGGTAAACCGAATTAAACTCAACCATACAATTGCGATTAATTGCAATAAAACTAAATAAACAAGGAAAACGATAATAGTGCATATCTTTTAAACTAAAAGCGATAGCGACCAACGGATTCAAAGTTATGAAAGATTGGATTTGGCATTAGATAAGAATTTAAAATAATTTAATTTTGTGGGATAAAAGGACCAGAAACGTGACTTTAAGTGCAATTTTTCTTTTTTTGCTCTTTTTATGAATTGTGAATATCTCCTAATTGTGTATTTTTACTATTTTTTTTTGTGTTTGCGATTTTAGAGGGTTCAGCCGGGCCCCGGGGAATACATCCCAGTTAACCCCCCCCCCCTCTCATCGGGTCTGCTGATAAGCGCGGAGAGAATAAAACGAACACAATATTGTGCGTACTGGTTAAAATCCGCTTTCTTGAAAGAAAACATTCTCCCAATAACGATGACGAAAACATTAAATATTTAGTAGTAGTAAAAATGCAAAATTAAATGAAGAATACCAGTTCCAGTATGATCTTACCACTGGGAAGTTTAACTGTTGTCCAAAGCGGTTTGCAGGAACTTCATGCGGACTATTTTGGATTGCAACGATAGAAGTTAAATATATTACGCGATCCCGGAAATAAGCTAAAAAATAAGAGCACAACGTCACACTCAATTGAAATGATTTATTAGGTATTAGGATCAATAGCGAATTTTAAACAGATCTGACCGAATCAATTTTACAAAGAACATGGCGGCGGACCGCCAGAAACACGCACGAACAAGCGGGCGACTACGACTAACTCGGCTCGATGAGATGACGCCGTGAGCCGCGTGCGCCGAAAGTGCTTGCGCTATGCGCAGCGCGGATTGTGCGCAATGATCGCACGCGTCATAAATTCATGCTCAAGGACACATGTGTAATGCAGTACATTCCGACATTTACGAAACCATCCCCCAACCACCAATAAGATTTCCAATCATCTCATTTTACCATCCCCTAATGCTTTTTTTTACATTTTGAACTTAATAAAGCGGTCTCTACATATGTATTGAGTTTTTGGATACACATTGGTTGTCTATTATCCTTCCGATTGTTAATCTCATATCGAGTAGATACAGCTTGTCCTGTAAGTACTTATATGATGTTTTATTTTTCAATTTCCTTAAGTTTCGTGTAACACGCAGTGCCGCGTCAGTGCGCATATGTAAACGCGCGCATGCGTAGAGATGTTCATATTTAGATTACAATTACATGTGTGTGTACATCTAACCTTCATGTTCTAGTAAACAAACGCCGATATACATTACTGCGCTGTATTATTTCATAATTGTAAACTGTGATTTTAAACGAATATTTATGATTTCCATACCATGAGTAATATAGCACCAAGTAAAAGTACAGTGTATGTCTCTAATATTCCTTTTGATCTGAAGAACAATGATATTCACAAATTATTTGAAAAACATGGAAAAATTGTTAAGTTAGTATATATCAGACCAGCTAATTCAGACACTTTGCACAAATTAACTGATTTTAATTTATAGGGTTACAATAGTAAAGGATAAGGTGACACGCAAGAGCAAGGGTGTTGCTTTTATAATGTATTTGCTACCAGAAGATGCTAAAAAATGTGTGGAATCTACAAATTTAAAAGAAATGTATGGGAGAACATTGAAAGCAAGCATTGCTCAAGATAATGGAAGAAGTGCCGAGTTTATAAAGAAAAAAGTATGTATTAACTTAAGGAAGATCTGCTTTAGCAATGAAAATGGGCTTATTAAACTTCTGCAGATATATCCTGATAAAACAACTTGCTTTGAATGTGGGGAAACTGGTCATCTAAGCTACAGTTGTTCTAAAAATCTTCTTGGTAATAGAGAACCACCACCCAAGAAGAAAAGAAAAAGAAAACCAAAAGCATATAAAGCACAAGAAAGCAAAAATGTAGATATTGTTGAAGATTCAGATCATATATCAGATGACGAAACATTGAGCGCAGCAATTGCAGCAGAAGTATGAATACATTTTTCTAAAGACGTGATTTTTAACTGTTTGGTTTTAGGCAGACAAAGAAGAACTTGATAATTATAGGTTTCAAGTTGCTACTGGAAGTTATGAAAGTAGTAAACCTAATGTAACTCCAAGAAAAAGAATTAGAAAGAGCTCTTATTTTAGTGATGAAGAAGAAGTTGAATAACTTATTGTTATTTATATACGTTTTGTTTCAGTTACAAGGAACTTTTATAAATTTTTTTACACTTGCAATGCAAATACTAACCTACTTGAGCTAGCAGTCAATAATACAGACGATTTTGTAGAGTCTAGTCGAGTAAGACCATAATTTTTCAACCCTCTCGTAGATGTCGCTAGCATTTAGTTTTGAGTGTAATTATTTCTTGGTTTGAATGTTTTGGCATTGAATAAGTTATAATTTATTATATGGTTAAAGACAATATTGGGTTGCAAAGGAATATGCAAAATATACAAAATTATTATTAACAAATATCAACTGTTAATGTCCCTCCCAAATCTGTTTATCTCTGAATTATATGATTTAAGCATTTCTAATTTTACGTTATGTAATTTCGCAATTTCATACAACACTTATTTTTACTTACATGTATTATACGCACATTAATTCAAACTAGAAATTTAATACTCTGTGGATCTTCAGTGGTCAACATTTGGCTGCATGCGGAAGCAAAACTTATGCGCCTTTGTAAATAATGTCCGAAATAAATTTGGAAACGGCGCACATTCGTTCACATCTCGCGCTGTGTCGTGTCCTGCACGCGCGTGCCCGTCTGATCGATTGACACTTGTTTTGACCCTGAATAATCCTTAGGGAGAGCCGCCGCTTGCTGTCACGTTACGACCGAAACGCGACAAGCCGCCGCACATACACAAATGCCACCGACTTTAAATATTGCCGCGCATTTTTTATTCACGATTATATGTTTACTGCGCCAAATCAATTGGTCTTGTAAATAAATAAACGACGTGGCTCTTTGGCGGCTCTCTTGGGGCGCCTGCCTCGCACAAAAAAGGCACACCAGGACGTCACGCGTTACGGCAATCATTTATTATGAATCGTGTTTCTTTTAATTCAAAACACAAAACACATTCACCAACAAAGAATAAAAAACGGCCTCAAATTGTGGATGTTACTATGTAGTCTTTAAATTGGAAGTATGAAGATTTTCTTTTGTACAGTTGTATTTATCGCAAACCTTGCAGTATTTTTGCTGTTGTGCGTTTGCATAGATGCGTATAGAGCTTTGGATTATCTGTTGATCGAAGCCAGATAGACGCCCCGGCGTGGCACAAGTGCGGAAGCACCGAAAAGGGTTACAATTATTTGCGGTTCCTGTATGTATTAAGCATAAAATACGCTTGGGCGTTCGAACGCGGGGCGAGCGCATCGCGGCGCGTAGCGTTTCTCTGGCAGCGCCGCGGCGCGTTCAATTACGTTCCGTTAAAATTTAATTTGTGCCGACGAAATGTAACTTTGTTTTGTGCAGTAAGCCGCAGGGAGATGATTCGTTGCTTCGACGATATACGCGTACCGCCAGCCTGCCTGCCTGCACGCCCGCACACTCATACTCATGCACGCATTGAGTACGAAATTCGCACAGGCGGATACTCGAATAACGTCGGGATAGGGATGATAGGAACACTTTAATATAATTTCCAGTTGCGCGGTTTCGCTCAATCCCCTCGGAGTTTGCACGTGCGTGTGCGGCTGCCAATTTTCCAATAGAATTACCTTCCATCGGAATTATTACGCAACATATTATACTTTATCTTGGAGCCGCCGAGACGCTTTTAATTTATCCTCTTTTATTTGTAGCCAACCAAGGAAAATTCTTGATTAGGCAATAACAAATAAGTTCTAAAATTGTATATAAATTGTAACAAAAATGAAAAATTGCAGAACGGTTGTGACAAACTTAAAGTGAATAAATAAAACATTGCGTATTTAGAATATTTTAGAGATGTTTAAAATATATTTTAATGAACTGAAAACTATCACCGGCTGTTGTTTTAACCCAAAGGTCATTATTCTCATAAAGACATTTCAGTTTTCTGATGCGTTCTTCTGCTTTTTGTACCAAAATACTCGTCATGTGATTACGTAGCATTATCTTCGAGAGCACATCGACGAAGCGACCCCAGCCATAATCTAATTTCGAGTATTAAACCCAGCTTCTCGTTTCTTCCCGTTGGTCATTGTAGCCGGCCATCGCCATCACATCCGAGATGAAATACGTGCGAGGGCTGCAACTACCGTTTCACTCGCAGATGGATCGCCTCGGAGATAACGAACTCCATCAACTATGATGGGCATTCGGGGAGATGCTTCCGGACGCTCAGGACTACTCATGCTAAAAGCAATAAGTGATCAAGACTCATTCCACAGAAAGCCTAATTTCGACCATAAAATGAAACAACAACATGCAACATTGTGAAAAATCTTCCTGCAAGCAACAGAGCTAAATAAAAGTAGCTTCAATTTTAGATTGTTGTTATTATTTTGTGTTTTGAGATAAAATGTGGAGTGTCCTAGAGTGGTGTACAGTGTGCACTCGCTGGGCGACGTCGTAGAATGGACGTCGGGCGCTGCTGCCGCTGCCATATCGATTCAAGTCGCGCCGACGCCCGACACCGCCGGCGTCGCGAGTGCCCCTTCTCTCCTGCTCGCTCCCTCATGCCGCAGGAGCGCGCAAACCATATGATATCATATTTTTGCCTGGATTGGTCCGACGCGCCGTAGCCAATACCAGCCGTCCGCTTTATAATATTTCATAACCGGGGCGACGGCGGCGCACACGCACGCATGATTGGTGTGCGCGGCGTCCCGACGCCACAATCCCCACGATGCGGGCGTCGCTATTTATAGTCTAGTATATAAGATTTCATATCGTTTTATGGTTCATAAGCGACTTTTCAGAATTATCACCAATCAGAAAGCAGCAAGAATTTTTTACTTTCGCAATTTAATTTTTTCAGCTGAATTTCGCTATTAAGTTTGTTAAAAGTTAAAAATGGGCGAAAATTATCAGATTTTGTTTCGATTTTCCATAAATAACTAATATTTTATATTTACATTTAGACTTTTGGACGGAAGCTTAAATATATTTGTTGAATCCATTTGAAGGAGTTTGAAAAATGTCGTAAAATGTTAAAGTAGGTACAAAGAAGGCAGGAAAAATGGTCTCTTATCTTGTCCGCCCGTCCGTGTAAGTTTACGTTCGAGTGAAAAATGAGTAGCGAAGAGTTTAGTTATTTGAAGTACGAGCACGGACATCTTCTCGGCGTGTCCACCCACGGCGTCCCGTCCGTCCCGGCCGTCCGTCGCTTACTTATACTGTCAAAGTAAAGGGAATGGGAATTGGGAAATCAAGCCCGATGTTGATATTGCATTTCTCATTCTTTATAATGCAACGCGGAGGACGCGCGCAAGCCGGCCCCCGGAGAGTCGCCGCTGCCGCCGCCGCGCCGTGTGTGCACTGCCAAGTGTTTGCCCAAAGATGTGTGTTATTGATTTTCAAGTCGGCGCGGGGGCCGGTGCTGTCCTGTCCGGTGCCGGCGGTTCCTCCTCGCTCGACCAGCGTGCACGTACAACACCGACACACACACACATACACCGCCAGCGTCGGCGGCAGGGCTCCATCAGTGCGCTAAATTGAAATCTTTCAGATGTTCGGCGCGAGCTTTGTGTTCCACCACACAGAGAACGAACGCAAGTGTGTGTCGTCCCATCAGTAAATATCGTTTCGCTTTGCTATAATGAGGTCCGGCGCGTTGTGCTGCGCCGCCGCCTCCACCTCTGCCGTCGCGTTGCGATGGAGATCGTCGGACTGTGTCCGGCTTTGCGCGCGCATAACGCGCGACGCCTCGACCCAAGACACACAAAAATTCAATATTAATATCGAGGCGGCGCTGAAGAGAGAACGCGAACCCGCGCCGGAAAGATGCGATCTCGCGATCCGCATTGCGCCACGTGCGAGACGCTCCCCTACGCCACTGCCGCCGCCACCGCCGCCACCCTCAATCCGCCAATCGCCTTGCGCCGCGCCGCGCGCTGTATGAATATGATGAATTTATGTAAGTAATAAACGGGAGGGCCGCGATTGGCCGCTTGCGCGCGCGTCGACCTGCAGGGATCCTTCCAAACCCCCACCATCTTCGCCATCTCCTCTGCTCCTGCCACAACTTTCCGACAACTGCTAGCGCAACTTGCTTTATGTACTGACCATCCAGATACACGCCGCCAGATATATATAGAGAGAGAGAGTGAGTAAACCAGAGCCAGGACCAGATGCCGACCGATTTGCATACTGTCCCGAACACTTTCGGTCCGTCTCTTTTCGTGCGCGCAGGGTGTCCTCTAGGAGTGTGTAACCTGCTGCCCTCGCACGGCACTCAATTGCCTTTCGACAGGCGTGTGCATACAGAAAGGCCAAGCCACTCGAGCTCAAGTAATGAACCTCAACTTCCCTCTCTGGGCGAGGGAAGAGGCCCACCTCTTCTTAATTACGCAACCCTTAATGTGCCATCGGCAGGCTAGCATACGCGCAGGTAACTGCCGATCAGTGCGCCATTATTAAAATCATGAATCTTCTTTAGCAGCGCCTCGACGTTCGTCTGCTGGTGACAGAATTAATTTAGGTTTTTCTCCCCGGCAAACTACCTAGGTACCAATCCAACAAAATCAGTACCAAAAAATTACAACTTGACAAAACCAACATGTAGAAATTTCGAACGCTGTTTATTATTTTATACTAAAGTGAGTTTTTGTCATACATGTGAATGGACATGGGTATATATGTTTTGTCCATCCGTAAAGTTTTCGCCGGCAGTTGCGCTCGGATGAAACTTTGTTCTTAGTTCGTTTGCCCAGCGGCCGCCGTCTTGGTCTGTATGCCTGCGGCGGTCGCTCTCCACCGGATAGAGAAAGGTAAATACAGCACGCGCAAGACAAAGAATGACGTTCAAGAAAGCTTTGCGGATGAGATTTGCTTGAAATCCGCGACTGTCGTCTTAAATAATCCAACTTCCAAGTTGGACCGGACAACGAGTGCATTTCGGATTGCGATGGCTGTATTTTAGGAAAGGGTGCAACAGAAATATTAATTACAGCTTGATATACAATACTCGCGGAGTGTGTATTTTTGGTATAGGGGTTGTTTCATATCCGTGCAGGTGTTTGCACAGAGCGCACTCGAAAGTTTCCATTATTTGTTCTTTTATCAAGAAAGTTGGAGTTTGCCGAAGAGGCCCGTACGCCGAGGGTTGGTTTTACTCGTAGGTGAAGGCGTGTGAGGGTGGGTTTGCAGAGCTGCGGAGCGACCATCAAACTTTGATAAGTTTCTCGGCTCGCTGGGAATGAAGCACTGCGTCCGCTCGGACAGCGGTCATTTTTCTCTCGTTTTCAATCTACACGCAGCAAAGTTCTCATTCTCCGCGCCATTCCATCTCGGACGCGGGGGCGCATTTCTTGTTTTTCTTGCGCTCGCCTTTTTCTATTTTCCACATCGCAATCCCTTGCAATCCTTTGCTGTTTTAGCTGGCCAGCACGCGCAAGCAGGATGAAATATAAGAGAAAGATAAAGAGTGAGAGAATGAAGGAGTGAATTGGGAGATGGAATTAGAGAATCGAACGTGCGAAACTAACACCAGAACGAGATGTACGAGTGAGAGGTGTGCGCGAAAAAGGAATATAGAATGTATGTAGCTGTCCACGCGAGCGCTGAAACTGCTGAAGGATTCGTTGCGCCGGGAACGGCTTTAAATATTATATAGACAAAATCAAACGGCAAATAAAGTAGACGGGAAATGGTAGAGTCTGGTGTAGCTGGTGCTGGGGCGCGCAGCAGCTTAATGGCCGGATCCCGGAAATTGTGAGCACATATATCTCGGCGGTAGCAGATTTATGAAAGTGCTTTTCTTCCGAGTGTGTGCGGGGGGCGGCGAAGAAATATACACAATAGCGCACCAACCACCACCCCCTCAAACCCAAGGCCGACCAAAAACCCAACCCGACCCTCTTCTTTCATTGCCATTTCTTTGCCGGCACAAAAACAAGAAATACTTTTCCAGATGCCGCACCTGGGCAGGCAGAGAAAACACAAACAGAGCAACACATCTTTGAAACTCATCGCGCGGCATCGCACAATCGCCCGATCGTACGTCTTGCTTTCTTTCCACTCGCACAACAAAAACGTTTAAGCGCCTCGCACGCACCGAGGGATGGATGGTAGATGGACGAATAACAGAAATTGAATTCCTTCAGATAACGCATCGGATGAGCGCGAAGGAGGCAGGAGCGCGGCACTCAAACTCAAAGCTCGCTCGCCTCGGAAAGCGGATATTGACAGGAGAAGGAATAGCCTTTGGAACAATCGAAATTCGCGCGAGATAAAGGAAGCAAATATAGTGGATAGCGCACTGACCGAGGCGAGTGTATGCGGCTGGCGTGGGGTGGTGGTGAAAGGTGAAGCTGGCGGACGAGGACTTTTCTTTGGTGCTTCGGCGGCGGCGGCGGCCGAAATAAATGAGGCAGGGGTTACGGGCCGCGCGCGGATGTACTTGGCCCTCAACACCTCTCGCATGCACTCGCCGAACCGCCTCCTTATTCCATTTAAACTGTCCACTTTCGGATTAAATCGTCTATTTCGGCTTCCTGCGCGGCATAATTCACCCGTTATGTGAAAGGACTTTCAACACTTTTTTTTTACAACGCAAAAAATCGTTTTACTGCTATGTTGCGACGACCTCTAGCGGATCAAAAAATAAAACAAATTTGGTGGTTAACCAATCGAAAGTATTTTTCGTTCAACTGTAAACTGAGTTTTCCCTAATTTTCATTTGCTCCAGAAACTTGAGCTAATATGAATTGTAAAATAGAAATGCATAGAATGTTCTTAAGATGAAGGAAGTTGTTCGATTCGTTTGTAAGATGAAAGCCCTGTGCGCCACAGCGACTTTCAATCATTCATGGAAATTGACGGATTTTAATGTTACAAAGTTTTAATTCGCAACCCGGCGAAGAGGGTTGCGGACGCATTTCCATTTAAATGTATTCCATCGAGTATGACGATGACGGCGCGTCCACCAAGACGCCGGGAATTAACTTCGGCTTTTTATATCTCCACCGAGGACCGTATCAAAAGTTAATTTGTGGTAAAATCTGAGGGTCGGACTCTTCTCGTGCGCGCTCTCCTTCGTGTATTTACACACTAATGATGGAGCGATGCTCTCGACTCGACTTTTCTGCACGCTTCGCGGCCCACCACCAATTCTCCTTCGTCTTCAAAAACAGACCTTCCACGCGGTGAACCTTTTTTTCTTTCACTTTCCCTGTTCGTTTGCATTTTATATT